TGGTAACTGCAAGTCCAGGGTACAAAAATTTTAACAGAGAAAATACTTGATTCTGTAGTGAAAATTCAGCTTCATGATATTTTACTTGTTTCCAATGCAGGTTTTGTGAAGTGCTGCAAAGTTCTCTAATGGGTGTTTTTGACATACACAGCTCTAAAGAAATATAGAAGTATGGTAATTCCAAGTAGAAAAGCTTTCTATTTAGTGCAGTGTAAGATCAATAGTAGCATTCTTAAAACTGAATTTAAAAATTACACAGGCAAATCAAGGAGTTCTAGAGCTCCACATGTGGCAGTGGCTATGGTGCCCATGCTGGCATTTAATAGGTTGGAAAAAAGGCCTGGTATTTAATGTCTAGTCAGAATGTTCAAAGCTAAGTACCTATCCTATCTCCAGTGTGTGAACTTCATCAGTATTGTTTATTACAAGCTAATTCAGCAGAGTTTTTTCTTTTGGTTATATCAGATGAGTTTGTGGTAGTGTTTAGGTGTCAATTACATCAAAGAGTATCATGAACAAATACTTCCAAGACAATGCAACATATAAATAAATATTTTGTGTGTGTGTGTATATATACACATACACATTTGAGATCATTTTCTCCAGAAACCAGATTCTCTCAGGCATCTTCTCAGAGTAGTCGCTTACTTGGTTGCATTCTATGCAAGGAGTTCAGGTGGCTTCAGCAGCTGTAAACCACAATATTGTAAAATCAAGCTGCAGGCTGTCTAGGAAACGGCTGTGCTGTGTAAATCAGAACAAGATTGCTAGCAAATCGGGATAACCCTGATCTAGAGAAAGTGTAAATCCCTGCGAATGTCTTCCTGCCAAGAAAAAGTGCTTAATAGATGTAAAAGTCGAGCATTTGTCCTCTAGGGTTTGCGTAAAGCTGCGCTTCTGCGTAAAGCTGTAGCTGTTTACCTGGTTTGGGGAAGCTACTGCTGTAGCTCTTTCTGTTTTTCTAGAGAGAACAGCTGGCTTCAGAAGTTACTAGCCAGAAAACAATAATAAAACTTTTAAAAATGTATTTTACAGTAACGAGTTCAGAAATGGTTTGTTTTTTTCTAAAATAGAAGTAAATCTGCACTGATCTTAGCTGTACTAGTAAAGCTTCTCAGAAATAATTCCAGAGAAGGGCAGGCAAGCCCTTCTATCAGTAGTAGTACTCAAAGGATGGAGTAAAACTATACGAAGGATTTCAGAAGATCCTTG